TACATGTTTTACGGTGTAGATCCGGTATCAGTGGTTAAAACATGGCTTATTTTAAATGCATTCGCTGTTGTTGATTTGGCTAGCGGTCAGAAGGCAGAACGGGGTCATACTTCACTCTACGGACCACCTGGCATAGCCGGGCCTTGGAATCAATTCTATGTACCTTGCAGCACTAGTGGAGTGTCAAGACCGTTGTGAAAGGTTGTGGTCATCGAATCCCGTGACCCGAATACAATATACGACTGTGAAAATGAATCGATTGGATCATCACTGCTACTGCTAATTTTTTCAATTTTTCAAAATTTTTACGTCGATCGTTGGTTCTTTGAATGTCTTTTCTCTGCGCAGTAATGCAGTGTTGTGCGATTATGACGTATCGTGTTTTACACATGTTCTTTCAGTTACATTGAATACTGGCGTCACCGTTTTGGCGAAACTGCAATTGACAAGATATTTCCTCGCGTTGTTCCAGCCGAGGATGACCCCGGAAAAGGTAAAAACTTTCTGTATGGTATGTTATGATATGGCATTTTGTTCCTTGCTGTGTAATGTAACCTTTTACTGAGCTCAGCCCTCATTGTTTCGAGTTGCCCGATTCACTCCTATACCTCCACGCTGAAAGGATTCTGTTTTAATTACCTGAGCAGGTTAATATTTGCTATATAACTGAAAACTATGTAAAAACACGTTGACTTCGATAGTTCATTTTGTGGTTTGCAGCTTTTGTAACGTTTTGAGCGAAAAGGCTTTCGGAAGTCAACACTGTCCACCCTAAATGAAATTTGTAAGGCATGAGCCGAAACCTCGGTACTGGTCAATCACTCGATTGACCAGTTTGGTTTTTGTGCATTTTTTAGTTTTCAGCAAGATCTCCAATGCACGAACGAAATACGCAGTCCTAATTTTATATTTAATTTTATTATGTTAATACTACGGTATTCACAGTTAGCAGTGTTCCTCGTTTCTCAATCCCAGAAGCAAAGCAACACTGTTAAATGGTTGATATAAGTTACGGATATTGCCTTACGGATACGTCACCGCGCTTACCAGCGTCTTCATCAGCGTTATACTGCAGAAAATTAAAAAGTGAATTTTGAGCCACACTGGCGTTTGACCCATTACTTCTCATGGACAAGCTGTCTGACTACGTCATAAAAAAGAGTACAAAATAGACGAACTTCTTTGCAGAAGAAGAGGTGTAACGCCTATAACAGGATCTACATCGCTATAAGATGATTACATAAACGTGTTGCAGAACATCTAGCAGCTATGAGAAATGGGAGAACAGACCATTCTGCCATCGACTCCCACACTTCCTATTTCAGACACTCCTGTATGCTGACGAATGTCATTTCTGTTGATGAGAAGAGAACAAACGTCGGGCAATTTAGTTCTAAGAGTTTAGTCTAATTAATCAAAGAATTGTTGGCTAACAAAAGCTGACGGAACAGCGAATGTATGAGCTCATATAATTTGAGTGGCAGCTGGAATGTCATCGGCCAGTTTGCCTGGTGAAGAAGTAATGAAACAAACGCCATTGTCACTCAAAACTCATTTCTTTATTTTGTGCTGTCTTATTTGTGAAATATAATCCTGATAAAAAATCTGGCGTGCGACATCGAAACGTGTTTGAATAAAGGAAACTGCATCATCCTGTTTTGAACCACGGATCGAGAAGTGCATCATAAATTGTTATGCATACAGACAACGAATCGATACTTCATTCCTCAGCTATTTGAACAGTTTTGATATCATCGCAACTACTTGTTTATCGTCCAGCAAAAGGTTGGAGAACCAAAACTTTGCAATTCGTTCCAATACTTGATGCCATCTTGAGCGAGATATAAACGTAGAAAGTCTTTACGTTTTTGTATGCGTTGTTGAACCGCAGTTACATCGGTCGACGAATAGCGATCTACAAACAGTAAACCTATGGACACTTAACTTATTGATATGGCGCATATGCTCTTATGTTGAGTAGTGAGAGTCACACGTATAAAGTTTCTGCTTCTAGGCGTGGTCGACAGTTACTACCTGATGTCTCCGAAACTACAGGAAGACCTTCAGATCCGGGAGCGACTGGCTCTGCGTCGACTAGAAGAAGTTCTGTCGTGTCAGCAGCGGGAGCGCCTTGACCGTTCGTTCGACCGCGTCTGTTTATTCTGCCGATACAGAGTGAAAGGCAACCGGTAAGCCAATTATTGAATAACTTGGCGTTAGC